CATGAACCGACGGGGGATGACCTTTTGCACATGTGTGCGAACACTGCACTCGCATTAGGACTATTCCATAGGAAAGCATTGTAGCCACTAGAGCCACCCAAAAGCACCTGTAGTGGCTGTATGGTAGACAGCCACAAGAAGTGGAATTAACCCTGCAATGTAATTATTGCAGTTTGTCAATAACTGCAATAATTACAATTGCAGGGTTGAACTGACAGGGACACTGCACCCAGACCATTTCAATGAGCTGGGTTGGTCTGGGTGCCTACAGTGTCCCTTTAACTTAATGAAACGGTATTGGTGTATAGATCATGCTCCTGCCGTCTCACTGCTTAATTATCTGTCAATTTGGGGTTAGATCACTTTGTTTATACAGCTGTAGTCACACCTACCTGTATGTAACTTGCACAGCCTTCCTAAACACTTCATGTAATGAAAGATTGAACGTTTAAACTTTCTTTATTGCATATTCTGTTTAATTTAGAATTTCTTATCTCATGCTCTGTTAATAGACTTCTACACCCTGCAGGAGCCTCCTGTGTGTGATTAAAGTTAACATCTCATTGAAAATGCAGGCTGTGACAGTCACAGCCAAGGGAGGTAAGGCTAGGGCTGCATGGACAGAAACAAAAGTGATTCAACTCCCAAATGATGGAAAATTGAGCAGTGAAACTGCAGGGGCATAAAATATACAATAAAAATGCTTCATTAAGCTAAAGTTGTTTTAATGCCTATATTGTCACTTTAATGTGTGAATTGCTGGTGATTGAGTAAAGTAGTTTAAATTTTAAACCAATATAACTGAATTGGTGAATTCTGCGAGTCAGCCATGTTTTAAGTTTAGTTATAATGAGCCAAAATGTGAAATTTAGTTGGAATTCACTTGGAATTTCCAACAATTGACATTTTAGTGAATAATACTATTTAGTTTTATTTCAGTTATATTTGGACAGTTAGATCCCTGTCAGAAACGTTGTGTGTCTTGTTGTGTCTGTATGCGCCTCTCTGTGTCTGTCTATGCCTGACTGTGTGTTTCTGTGTCTTTCTGTATCTGTGTAAACCTTTCTGTATCTGTGTGTGCCTGTCTGTGTATTTATGTGTCTGTTTGAACCTGTATGTGTCTGTTTGTATCGGTCTGTGTTCCTGTCTGTGTATGCCTGTGCCTGCCTGTCTGTGTATGCCTTTGTGCACCTGTGTGTGCCTGACTCTGTGTACCTATCTATTGTTGTCTCTGTCTGTGCCTGTGTGCTCCAGTATGTGCTTATGTGTCTATATGTATTTGTCTCCCTGTGTATGTCTGTCTGTGAGTATGTGTCTAAGTGTATATTTGCGCATGTGTGTGTCTGTAATTGTGAGTGTGTTAAGAGATGTGTTAAGGAGTGGAGTTTAGGAAGGGGCCAGAAATGGGTTTTTAGGAGTAGGCTCCCCAAATGATTTTTGCATTCGTGCAAGCTTTAATCACCAAACTACAATGAGAACGTTTTGGGGCTCAAGCGCCTGGTGTGCTTTGTTTGCTCTAGCAACTTCCTGCAAAAAAACTAACAGAAAACTTGTCTTTGTAAAGTACTCAGTGTATGTAAACCTGTGTGCTTGTCATAGTTCATATCTTGTTTAAATATTTGACGTTACTATAATGCAGTTATATAGTTCTAGATAATTCAGTCTTTTCTCAGTGTGAGTGGACTGGTTATCCAACATGTTTACTTTATGGACTCACATATTTACTACTATATGAAGTTTATCTGTTCAAGACCATGAACTCAGACTATAGCTCCAGACAAGCTATGCATTTTGACCTCCACACCCTAATGTTACTTGCATTATAATTATTAACATGTTCTCAAGTGGACTTAGAGATTCATTTAGTTATAATCTGCAATTTATTCCAATGTGGATCAATTGAGCTAATGTCCAAATTTCTGAACCGCCATATAGACTAATCCGGAAACAAACAACTCACGCAATAGACCAACATGTTCCCTCTGATTTGTGGTTTAGAGTTTTGCCTGTGGCACCAAAAAAAGAAATGATTAATGGGAAAAAAGATGATTGATGCCCAGGTGACAACCACTAAATATTGATTTTGTTTACAGATCAAGTGAGTAGTAACTAATAAAGCAGAAAAAAAAAAAGAAGTAAAATAATCTATCTACAGTTACGTCTGGAAATATTTGTACACTGACACAATTTTCATTATTTTGGCCACCACAATGGATTTGAAATGAAACAACCGAGATGCGATTGAAGTGCAAACTTTCAGCTTTAATTCAAAGGCTTAAACAAAATTATTTTATGAAACATTTAGGAATTGCAATCAATTTCATACACAGTCCTCTTAGTTCAAAGGCTCAAATGTAATTGGTCAAATTAAAACAATCATTAATAAAATGTTAATTTTTAATACTTTGCCGAGAATCCTTTGCAGGCAATGACTGTTTAAAGTCTGCAATACAGGAGAGTTTGAGAGAGGTGTAAAAAATAAAAGAAGGAAAAGAAAAGTTATAAAGGACAGTGGGAAGTTGATAAAGAAGAAAGTGCTTAAGTAAGAGGGCCCCATTCAACACGTGCAGCATGTCTCTTCATTGGCTTGGGGACCCCTAGTCACTTTATTATTTGGGGTCCCCACCAATATTTATTTAAGGTCCCCAACTGCCCATAATGATAATTTATAGCAACTATACTCATTACACTCTTCCAGAATACAAAATGTTTGATAGGAATAGTCTACACAAATAAAATACCCTACCACAAGATGGCCTTAAATAATTTTCTTCTCGTCCATAAGGCATTGCTCCCCTTCATTTGTCTATATGGTTAATTGAATCCTAGACATAAATATCCCTATGTTAATAGTAAATAGGCAATTGATGGGATAGATGAATAGAAAAAAAGAGCAAAAAAAGACTTAAAATCTGTTAAAAGCCAGCTTTAATTTCCCAGTAACAATACTGGAAGCGGAGAAACCTACAGGGATTCAATCTCTTACACAGGGGTTCTACTATCTTTGTCGGGAGAAGAACTCCCAACCATGAAATAAACTGGAGGTAAGCAATTTATTGCCATCTGCTAAGAAACATTAATGCTGCATAGCAACACCCACCAACCTATGGGGGAAGATAATTTAATCCAACTCACTGCACTTAAGGCTAGGGTGAGTATCTAAATGATTTAACAAAATAATTGTGAAGATTTGCTTCACTTCAGTTCACACTTACAGGTGGAAAAAATGCTAAGCCATAAACTCTTTAAGGGCCACTTACCCTTTTAGAGCTTCAATGTGCAGTGGCAAAATATGTCTGAAACAATTTCACACATACAACATGTATTGGATTAAACATCTGCTGGGGCTTCACAGAAACCCAAGATGTTATCAGAGGAGAACTACTAATGATTCAGAGTCTACATTGCCACCTAGACTGCTCACAGGTCATGATCTACTAATAGAATTTATAGGCATACAAATTGTAAATATTAACTGGAGAGGCGAAGATCCAATAAGGAAAATGGGACAACAGGAAATGAGGTGGATTTTTGACCTCAATACTATGAGTCCCACTGGCCTCAACAGTGATTTTGAAATGTGTCATTTTTTGTAATACTATTCTAAATAATATATGTATTTTATACATTTGTTTTAATATTACAATATATATATGTTTTAATAAGATAATACAGCAATGTTTTAATTTAAGATCAAGCTGCAACTAAAAGATACCTTTAATAGCCTTTTATGTATTTGGAATTGTACATTTGGTAACAATTAGGAGCTATCAGCTCCATTCAGTTTTTATGTGTTTTGAAAAATGTCTTCAAATGAATTGATTGACCCATATTGATTAAGGGGCATAGGGAAAGTGACAAACGCGATGTATTAGCGTTCTGTCTCTTTTCCCATACTATTGCCCATAAGTAAAATGGCGACCGTGAGTACCAGAAGTGACGCGGCGATGTGCCTGACGTCACTTCCGGTTACGGCCGTAAATGAAACGGATGCCACAGGTACATCCCCCCAAGGCAAATACGATTGGATAATTACCTGGACCATACACCAATGAGAGGACACACCGGGATATTTAAACCGGGACAAAAATCAGAGCAGCACACATCCGATTGAGAAAGCACTCAGGCAGGGCGAAACGCGTCTCGGGAAAGGAGGACATACATGGGACATTTTTTATTCCTTTTTAATTCTATGCATATATTTTTTATGTTTCTTTGCCAGTGGGCATAATAAATTAATACCTTTATATACAAGTTCCTACTGACCTTCACTGAAGCTGCTCCAAGAAGGGTTGGTGTCTCCCTAATTTAGGCACTAATGCTGAAAGTTTGAGCCAATACTGGGGCTCAAAACAAGGTGAGCGTTCATTTATTTATATATCCAATTTACCTTTGGCTGAAATTACTGCACTATACTGGTTTTCCCCTATACATATTTTATTTCTGAGGTGATTTACCTACGTGCTCAAAAGAAAGGGGATAGTACCACCAGACGGTACCAAAAAGCGCAAGTGATCTGAGCCCATCCTTATTTGGGCTCTGGAATACGTGAGTTGGCACTTCTCAGGATTACTATATAAATTCTATATGGTTATACAGAGTTGCACTATGATTTTGTATATGTTTCTCTCTTTGTTATATATATGCTGAAATTGGAAGTGATCTTTACAATATTAGGACCAGAAGACCCTTTAAGTTGGGTAGGTGCCTGTTACCATCACTATTTGCTCCACTCATATAGGTGAACTGCCTTTGGCTTTTTTACCTCTTTCTATAGTTCTTTCAGTTTGAGGTGGGTGAGAGGGACCCCCACAAGAGTGTTGTAGCATTTGTCTATACTGTTCTTCATAATCTATAAGCGCCTCTTATACACAGTTTTTTCTTTTCTTTTTCATGATCTACTAATAATTGGGAGTCTACATTACCACCTAGATTTGATTTTTGTGAATTTTTACCAGGCCACATCTTGATTAGGATCTGCCACAGCTATACCCCGCACCATCAGTTTTAGCCTCAACCATCTTTAATAAACCATCTGTGAGATTAAGGAATCAAAGGGAAACATGTTGCTTTCCATAATTGTTTTACATATGGGAGGTAAGTCATGAGAAGCTCTAAGGCTTTTATTTAGCATTTGTATGTTTTCTTGAAAAATATGTTAATGTGGAGGACAAGTTATTGGTACCTATGTTTAATATGGTATCCCTTGTAGATGGAATTTTGACTATGAAAAATATAACAAATGCTGATATTATTATTATTGTTTATAATATATATGTACTCACCGAGCTACATAAGTACCATTTTGTTTGTATCTGACATTGAGAGTGTTCAGTTTTGACTACACATGTCTAAAGTTTGCCCAAAATTTGTAGGTGTTCTAGATAGCATCACAATGTTAGCTGCTTTCCATGGCTGAGATGCTAATGGTTAGTGTATGAAGTTAGTTCTAAGGTTTTCATTCTTCAATCAAAATTAGCATAGCACATTAAATAGTAGTTGTCTTCTTTGTAAATTCTTTTCTAATATAGAACATATAGTGGACTTTTATGTTTTGAGTAAGTCTATAATGTGCCCTAGTGTTTTATGTAAAATGACAAAAATTAAGATTTCTAGTGACGGGTCTTTTTTTTTTTTTGCTATTCCAGTATTGAATCTGACCCACGTCTCTGCATGATGCCACATCTCCCAGCAGATGGAACAGCAAAGAAATCCAACTGATTTTAAAGTTTATCAGCTAGGCCGGTATCTCTGATGACACCAAATTGTGGTTAAGAGGCTGCAGGATATTAATATTAACAATGTAAATAACAGTCAATTCTTTAGAGGGCAAAGGAAACTTGTCTCTCATTTTCAAAGGATATGCTTTACTTAATCAAAACTAATTAGCAGTGATTTTCACAGAAGGAATAAAAAAATAATCACATTTGCTTTTAAAAAAAAATTAAACAGCTTATAAATGCAAAACTATGTTTTCCAAAGACAATTTTAGGCATATTACCAAGACTTTAAATATGTACAAATTATACCCAAGATTATGGTATACAACACACATGAAAGAAGATGATTTTGTTAATAGTACAAAATAGATTTTACATCAAATATGAAAATTATCATTTCTTGTTTGAACTACATAGTTTTCTGAATCTGTTATATCTGAGATCATAATAATTTACATTACCATAATTATTGTACCTATTATAAGACACTGCCCACAAATATTTTCTTGCTTCCGTACGGAACACTGATGGAATGTTGCATTATGGCAGAAACACAAAATTTTATAATGGACTGTGAAAGTACACAAATATAATCAGTTTGAAATGTGTAATACTACACTGTAAGATCTATTTAACAAAATTAATTTGCTGCAAATGTGTGGTTATTGCAGCATTCTTCTTAAAGGGTTAGAGCTCCAACCAAAATAGTGTTTTAATCAACATTGATTTTTGGTTGGTGTAGCCTTGTTGGCATTTCAAAAAAGTAAAAAAAAGTACCAAAAGTTAATACAGTGCAGCAAAATCATTCTTGGCCTGAACTTATTACTAGTACACATAAGATTCCCCCGGTGTTCACTAAGAAGTCACCATGTGGATCTCTCTTTCAGCTCTTCCCATAATCCATTTTTCTTCAAGCACCTTCGATGGTGAGACATATTTTTCAAGCAAAAGCACGAAAATAAAAGGTTGTGCCACAGGACAATAAATGGTATGTACAACACAGAACTACTTCTCCTTTGAAAAGGACAACTTCAAGATATCAGAGGATTTTCTTCACATAAATATCCTTGAGTATTGAGATCCTCAGCGAGAAATGGGACAGAAGAACACAGAAACAAAGAAGCATAAATAGTGCAGTATGCTAAAACGCACAAGTCTAGGACATAAAATAAAGGGTCACTCACATTCAACGGAGCTTAGTAATATAAGCTCAAATAGTTGCAGCATACAGCAGCAAAATCCCCATGTATCCTCAAAAAAACTCAGTGGATTATGTAACAAGAGCAACACAAACAGAGAAAATCCATTAGTGCAATATATTAAGATGGTATTGGTGTATAGATAACCAAATGGCCACTGGCATAGATGGAGCTTCTTGCAAGCTCAGATATCTCAGCACACAGCGGTATAAGCCACACTTAAAGATATGTAGTTGTCACATGCAAAACACAATAAAAAGGGCATATAGCATTCACTTTATTATGTTTAGATGAACAAGCAAGCATAATACGTACAGCAGGGGTGTCCAAAAGGTAGGTCCCTTAAAACTACAGTTTCTATAATGCTTTGACATTCTAAAGGCATTCTAGAGGCATGCAAAGTATCATGGGCATTGTAGTTCTACAACATCTGGGGATCTACCTTTTGGGCAACTCTGGCTTACTGTATCTGGGGCAATGAAAGTGATCTGCTTTACAGGTATGGGTGGTATAATCCCCACTAATGAAAGGTGGCCTGGAGGTCCTCATGTTGCAGTTAAATTATTCTCTATAGGTAGCTGTCAAAATACCTGTCCCTTGCAGAGTTGTGCGATTGTGGAAGTGATGTCTCTTCTGTGTTCCAATGAACACAAGATGTTCCCCATTCATCCAAATTAAAATTCTTTATTAACCCCTTAAGGACACATGACATGTGTGACATGTCATTATTCCCTTTTATTCCAGAGGTTTGGTCCTTAAGGGGTTAAAAGAACATTTGAAAAAAATATGTCTGATTTGCTCACTTCTCTTTTAATTGTTTTTACAATTAAATTTTTTCTGCGTGTACATTTTTCATACTAGTTCATAAACTACTGAATGTTAAATGTATACTGTTACTTTAAAATAAACAAATAGTTAAAAATGTTTTATATATGATATGTTTGAGTAATTCCACATACACACGAGTGGCTCATTAGGCAGTCTTGCATTATACAATGACAAATACATTTCTCTTTGAAGTGGTTTATCTTTCCACAGTGATTGTTGTTCTAATTACAGAAATGATCTACTGTTCTGCACACTTCCAGTAAAAGGTGTCATACAAAATTAAACAATTCATGTACAAAACAGAGATGAATCTTAAAATTAGACAGCCAAGTGCTAATTTCATTTTAGCCTACCTCCTTAACCCAGTCCTGTTTTACCTTTTACATTTTCTATTTATTCACATTCTATGCCCCTTTTCTCTGTTGGTGATGCTGTTGAACATGTTTTGTTCTGCTAAAGTCTGTGCATAAAATTATAATAAAAATATTAAATGCGAAATTGATAATAATTCCATCTACATGCATATTCTATATGTACTGTAGGCTGTTCAGTTTAGATAGGTTATTTTTATTTTAAAATATTCTGTTATTTTATTTACCATTATGAATTAGAGATAAAAAAAATGTATTCTTTTTTATTTGATGCATTCTTTTTTTAATGCCATACACACAGAGCATATGAAAATAGGCTCCAATGGGTACCATTAAAAAACAGCAATTGTTAGCTCTTTTCACACACTCTTAGTTGAATTGTTTAGACCAGGGGTGCCAAAAAGGTAGACCCCTAGATGTTTTAAAACTACAGCTTGCATGATGCTTTGGCATTCCAAAGGCATTCTAAAAGCATGCAGTGCATCATGGGGGTTGTAGTTCTACATCATCTGAGGATCTAACTTATGGGCACCCCTGGTTTAGACTTTGACTCTGACATTCTAGCATTTAGGTTGTTGAATTTAAACCTCCAGTGATGGTTTTCTGTGTGTTAAGGAGCATTAGTCTGCTGGAAAGGAAACCTCTGCCAAAGTGTCTGCTGCCTTGCAGACTGAAATGTGTTCACTTGCTATGTAGTTTGCTCCATCAATTTTGCCCTCAGTCATAAGCACCTCAACAACATCATGCTGCCACCACCATGGTTCACTATGGCCAAAAAAAAAATCACTTTTGGTCTCATTAGGCCAGAGAATTTTTTCTAAATGTATACTGGGTCTGCCACATGCCTTTTCACTAGGGCTGGACCAATAAGTTGGGCTCATTGGATCCAAAGAAAAGCAAACTCATCCCACCATTTTTAAATTTTACCATTAAAGTCCATTTCCTCTTTTAAAGTCCATTTCCATCTCAATAAATTAGCCACCTTCTGTTCCCTCTCATATCAAGAATGTTCCCCCCCCTCAGAATAGAGTGAATAAACATCCTCATATTTCCAGCACATAGCCCTCATATTCATTACTCAGATTGCATACGTGATCTCTACTCACGCCCACTCCCACACCACAATTCAAAATCCCATACCACTCAAAACTCCATATGGTTTCACCACTTGTAAAAATGGTGTGTGGACAATCCATAGAGTGGGTATTGTACAAGAAGAATTACTGAAAATAAAAGTATATTTTAGCCTGTCTCCTGATTTTATATCTTATTAATGCAGGAGGGTTGTTGCCCCATGGTCTTTTTCCAACTCTCAGTTCTGTCTGCCAGGAGAAAGTGAAGTATAATCACTTCTTCTTAGTCCCATCTCTGCCGGACAAGGAAACAGTTGAGTTGTTCCTGTCAGGATGTGGTCTGGTGCCCTGTTACATGTGGTTGCCTGTTACTGCTCCTCGCATCTCCACATCGCTAAAAGCTCTCCCAGGCTACATTTCATGCAAAAAGTTTTCACCCGAGCAACAGCAGCCAGCCAGCGACTACAGCAGTCAACTGGGAAATGATCCAGTTTCCTAGTGGGCCAATCCAGCATTGGTTGTGATGGAGAGGTAAATAATTAGAAGGAAGGTGGACAATGGCATTTAGATAAAGGTCTTAAAGAGATGTCACCAAACCCATTCTTCTATGGCCATGTGGAGGAAATGAACCCATGACATAGCAAAAGACAGAACAAATGCACCATACACTGTATCTTCATACATATATACATACACCAGCCATTGTAAACAATGACCTTACATAACTATGCCTGCATTCACTAACCTTTCACACAAATACACCTCTGCTTTCACCTACATACATATATTGACACTCTACACTGTGGACAAATTATGAATTAGAAACAATAGGCTTGTTCCGTATTTCTTTTGTGAGTAATTTTTAGACATAGCTAGTAAAGATCTTACATTGAGAGCTTTGGCTTTAATACAGATAGAGTGTAACTTCGGTAATCTGTTCTTATTTCCTTTCTCCTACTTTTATTCTGGTCACTGGGTGATTTTATATTCCATGTGATCAGCTAAAATACGTTTTATTAATTTTGTTGATTTTTTTTATTTTTTATGAAATTTAATTTCACATATAAAAGAAACATGAGGAGTGACTCGAAGGAATACTTTTTTTTACAAAACACAGTACAGATTGGTGCTTTTCCAGATTTTTTTTGGAAGTTGTAATGCAAAAACAAACAAGTGACATGCCTGTATACAATGTAATACGTAATACCTGTAAGTAAAGATTTCATTACTTTATACTTAAATTAAGTTCTCATCATGATCTTTACATTTGTTGCCTCCAACTTCCCTTTGTATCCCCTTACAACCAGCATTACTCACCGCATGTTGTACATTCAAATATGCACAAGAATACACATGTGCAAGGCATCTGATATTGGTGGGATGGCTTTGCGCATGCACAGTAAATCTGTGTATTTATTGCCATCACTGACTGGTGACTAATATAAAGGGGAAGGTTCACAAGCAGGTATGCTTGTTTTCACCTTGCAGTGCCAGATTTAATTGAAAACCTCCAAAGTAGAACCTTACATTATTATTAGTATTATTCAAAAAATAAATTAAATTTGAAA